CGTGTATTGATTCTTTTGCTTCTTTTAAAATTAATGGGGAGCTAATCAAATTTAGTATTGTGAAATTGTTTTAAATTTTACTCCCCTAGTTTTCCCTATAGAGGCAGTGAGGCAAATTAATGCTCGAGGAGAAGAGTTCACTTTGGTTTCTGGAGAGTAACCCCTTACAACGCAAATAAATTAGTCAAGTACAGGTTAGGGCTCGTGTATCAAAGAATCATGTCCTAGAGTTTCTACCAACATTAGATAAACTAGCTATCTTTTAAAAATCTTTTTTAACAAAAAAAAAGAAAAAAAAAAGAAAAATCTTTTTAGTATAAAGCAACAAGAAAAATTCATATATCTGGGAAACAACCTTAAAATTTCCGTGACATATCAACAAAGCAGCATTGCCCATAGAAACTATTCCCTAAATTCTCTCCTAGCCTATAGTGTATTTCGAGGCCCCTAATTTAAAAAATAAACCTATGACTGAGGAGGTAGAGGTAAAACAGTCATACTTATACCTTCTAAGGAAACTGAATATTTGTAGAACCTTGTACTAAATAAATTTATAATAACTATAACCCTAATATAAATCATCTTCTATTTATTTTGCAAGTCTGAATTACAAATTATCAGGTATTCTTAAAGCAGGGAGTATATCAATTTGAGATTCAAAATGGCAACTTTTTTTTTTTTTTTTGAGACAGAGTCTCATTTTGTTGCCCGGGCTAGAGTGAGTGCCGTGGCATCAGCCTAGCTCACAGCAACCTCAGACTCCTGGGCTCAAGCAGTCCTCCTGCTTCAGCCTCCCCAGTAGCTGGGACTACAGGCATGTGCCACCATGCCCGGCTAATTATATATATATATATACATTAGTTGGCCAATTAATTTCTTTCTATTTATAGTAGAGACGGGGTCTCGCTCTTGCTCAGGCTGGTTTTGAACTCCAGACCTCGAGCAATCCGTCCGCCTCAGCCTCCCAGAGTGCTAGGATTACAGGCGTGAGCCACTGCGCCCGGTCGAAAATGGCAACTTTTAACGGTGCATTTTACTTAAACAAAACATTTAAAAATCAGTGTAAAGAGGGCGGGTGTGAGCGGCCGGTGGCTGCTGTGGCCTGCTCTAAAAAAAAAAAAAAAGAAAAGAAAAAAAATTAGTGTAAAGAAACATGAAATATGCTTCTAAGTCTTTGACTCTAAATATGGACTGATGAAATAAATCCTTTTTAATTTAGGAAGACAATGGACTAAATAAATGCTAAATACTAAAGGAAAATTCTCTCTTTTTGTTCAAGTAGAGGTATCATGTAACCTGACACACCTGTGCCCAGGTGTGGAAAGTAGCTCCTCTCAGGGCTCCTGGAGCATCTGCTTCCTCTGTCTCCTTTACAATTGTTTCAGGTTTGGGGGTTCTTAAACCATTACCTGTCTTATTTATAGTATAATTAATTTAAAAAGCTTGGCAATTTTTTTAAAACTAGTAGGCTAAATCCCAGGGAAATAAATGTGGCCTCCATTTTAACAGTGTAATTGCCCTTATCTATGTGATGACATTCACATGAAGGCAGTTGTCACCTCCTTCTATGTCACAGAGCATCATGTAGGTATTATAGAAAATACTTTTAACAAACATCCAACTGATACCTTACTGAAGGATTGCATTCCTTATAGTAGATAAACGTACAGATACTATAAAATAACACGTTAACTGAATTGTATGCATAAATCTAAACTATAATCCCAATTTACAACACTGAACAGACATGACACATCACAGAATGGAACTGATCTTAATCAACAAGGGATGGATAAAAGACTTAAATGTAAGGCATGAAACCCTAAAAATTCTAGACTAAAACATAGGAAAAACTTTCTATGCACAGAAAGACAAATCTCACATGTTCTCACACCTATGTGGCAGCTAAATATTAAAAACAAGCGGGCTGGTCCAAAGGTAGTTGAGTTATTTCAATTGATTGTTCACAGTTGCAGAATGAACTTCTTGTTCCATTCTTACCCCCTTCTCACTATTGCACTGGACTAGCCTTAACAAAAACAATGGATCTCATGGAGACAGAGGGTAGAGTGACAGTTACCAGAGGCTGGGAAGGATAGGGAAGGGGGGATAAAGTGGGGAAGGTTAATGAGTGCAAAAGTATAGTTAGATGGGATGAACAATCTCTTATAGCACAACAAAGTGACTGTAATCAATGGTTGAGTAAGGGTGAATTTTTTTGAGTCAGAGTCTCACTCTGTTGCCCAGACTAGAGTGTCGTGGCGTCAGCCTAGCTCACGGCAACCTTAAACTCCTGGGCTCAAGCGATCCTCCTGCCTCAGCCTCCCGAGTAGCTGGGACTACAGGCATTCGCCACCATGCCCTGCTAATTTTTTCTATATATATTTTTAGTAGACCAATTAATTTTTTCTATTTATAGTAGAGACGGGGTCTCACTCTTGCTGAGGCTGGTCTCAAACTCCTGAGCTCAAACGATCCTCCTGCCTCGGCCTCCCAGAGTGCTAGGATTACAGGTGTGAGCCACCGCTCCCGGCCTAGTTAGAGTAAATTTTAAATTAAGTATAAGAATAAAACTGGAATGTTCCTAACACAAAGAAATGACAAATGTCTGAGTTAATGGATACCCTAATTACCCTGATTTGATTAATTCACAGTGTATGCCTGTATCAAAACATCACATGTGTTCCTGAGAGGAAACATAGAAAAAAATCACATGTGCCCTATAAAGATATAAAACTATTATGTACCCATAAAAATTAAAAATAAAAAAATTTAGGACGGGCGCGGTGGCTCACGCCTGTAATCCTAGCACTCTGGGAGGCCAAGCCGGCCAGATTGCTCGAGGTCAGGAGTTTGAGACCAGCCTGAGCAAGAGCGAGACCCCGTCTCTACTACAAATATAAAGAAATTAACTGGCCAACTAATAGATATAGAAAAAATGAGCCGGGCATGGTGGTGCATGCCTGTAGTCCCAGCTACTCGGGAGGCTGGCAGGAGGATCGCTTGGCCCAGGAGTTTGAGGTTGCTGTGAGCTAGGCTGACCCAGGCACTCACTCTAGCCTGGGCAACAAAGCGAGACTCTGTCTCAAAAAAAAAAAAAAAATTAAAAATAATTTATGACTAAGACCCCAAAGGCAAATACAGCAATAACAAAAATAAATAGGCTGGGCGCAGTGGCTCACGCCTGTAATCCTAGCACTCTGGGAAGCCGAGGCGGGCGGATTGCTCTGCTCGAGGTCAGGAGTTCGAAACCAGCCTGAGCAAGAGCGAGACCCCGTCTCTACTATAAATAGAAAGAAATTAATTGGCCACTAATACATATAGAAAAATTAGCTGGCATGGTGGCACATGCCTATAGGCCCAGCTACCTGGAGGCTGGAGCAGCAGGATTGCTTGAGCCAGGAGTTTGAGGTTGCTGTGAGCTAGGCTGATGCCATGGCACTTACTCTAGCCTGGGCAACAAAGTGAGACTCTGTCTCCAAAAAATAAATAAATAAATAAATAAATAAATAAATAAATAAATAAATAAATAAATAAATGGGTTTAATTAAATTACAAAGCTTCTGCACAGCAAAGCAAATAATCAGCAGAGTAAACAGACAACCTACCATTATGGAGAAATATTCTCAAACTGTACATCTGATAAAGGACTAATACCCAGAATCTACAAAGAACTCAAACAAATCAGCAAGAAAGAAACAAAGAACCTCAATAAAAAGTGGGCAAAAGACATGAACACAACTTTTTCAAAAGAAGATAGACAAATGGCCAACAAATGTGAAAAAATGCTCAATATCACTAATCATCGAGAAAACGCAAATTAAAACCTAAATGAGATACCAGCTTACCCTTGTCAGAATGGCCATTACTAAAAAGTCAAAAAACAATAGATGCTGGCGTGGATGCAGAGGGAAATGAACACTTATACCCTGTTAGTGGGACTGCAAATTAGTAGAGCCTCTATGGAAAACAGTATTGAGATTCCTCAAAGAAATAAATGTAGACTTACTATTCTATCCAGTAACCCCACTACTGGGTATCTACCCAAAGGAAAGAAAGTTATTTTATAAAAAAGACACCTGTACCCAAATGTTCATTGCTGCACAATTCACAATTGCAAAGATGTGGAATCAACCTTCGTGCCCATCAATTCATGTGAATTGTGAATTAACATATCTGAAACCTACTTAATTTTACCACTGAGAGTTTTCAGAAAGAGAGAGACAGACAGAAACCTCAGACAGCTTTAAACTTAGAAAAAAGTGTATTCTTAAATGGTTTCCCCCAAAGCAAGTTTGGTCTAAATGCAGTTTTGCATCTATAATTTAGTTTCTTAATTATTTTCTATTTCTTTATTTCTAATCTTAAATGCCAAACTTAACATTTTTGTTGACTTTGGGGAAGTAAAAGTTTGTGTTGTTTTCTTTTTGAGACAGTCTCACTCTGTTGCCCAGGCTAGAGTGCCATGGCATCAGCCTAGCTCACAGCAACCTCAAACTCCTAGGCTCAAGCGATCCTTCTGCCTCAGCCTCCCCAGTAGCTGGGACTACAGGCATGCACCACCATGCCCGGCTAATTTTTTTTCTATATATTTTTAGTTGGCCAATTAATTTCTTTCTATTTTATAGTAGAGACAGGGTCTCACTCTTGCTCAGGCTGATTTCAAACTCCTGACCTCGAGCGATCCACTCGCCTTGGCCGCCCAGAGTGCTAGGATTACAGGCGTGAGCCACTGTGCCTGGCCAAAAGATTCATTTTAATTGACAAAAATTATTGATGACTCACTCTCAGAAAAGTGACTCACTGCCAGTGGTTGTATCCTCCCTGCTGGTTTGAAATTCAAGAAGTCTGAGTGTGGTCAGCAGTGAGAGATAAAGGTGTTAAATATGTTCTCAGGTACATGGCAAAACTTCCTTGTCACTCGGATGATGGGTTATGCTTCAAACCGGGAAGGCAGCAATTAAAGGTTTTTGTAAGAACGGCCTAGTTATAATTCTCACCTGTGTAAATGAGCAGACAGGTGAGGGAACAGAGGAGTTCCAGGGCCAGGATGGCCAAAATGAGGTCCAGGTACACCCTGCTGGGCTCAGGAAAGGAATGCTGCAGGCTCAGCGTGAGGAGAAGCGCGGTGTTGCCTGTGGAGGAGAAACACAGAGCACGGGTGCAGTGAGAAATACACACGTGGTCTTCTGTTCATCACACAAAGCTCCCAGCGCCCATGTGGGTCCCGAGTGGTAAGGGTGACAGTGGTGTGTGTTGTTACGCAGTGACACTTCACGCCCTCAGGGTCACTGTGGACACTCCTGGAACAACATACAGGTTCACAGGAGAAAAGCACAACACATTTATTTAATCCAAGTTCTACAGGGCATGGGAGCCTCAGACGTGAAGGGCTCCTAGGCAGAGAGTTAGGGTCTCCGGCTCTTCTCGGGACAAGGGTCCCTGCTCCGGCGCTATCTCAAGCAGGCGCCCCACCTGGGAAGGAGGATAAAGGCGACACTGCGTTTTGGTGTGGTCCCACCCTTAATCCTATCCCAGCAGCTGCCACACCTGGGAAGGAGGGCACGCCTTATCGATCTAGGAATTCCCCAGCCCAAGCACAGTAAGATGTCGAGTGACCTGGAGTAACCTAAGGGTAATTAATACACCATCAGCTCGAATCTGCATTGTGGTTCACCTCCGCCTCCAGGTGGGCTTTCTTAGAGGGAGCTCGTATATGTGCACCTGGAATTCTGAGGACACCTGTTGACCATGTGACACCATCCCACACTTCCCAAGAGCCCTGCTCCCGACTGGGCTAACCGAAGGAGACAACTCGATAAGTCAGGAGGACGTGAGTGGGTCAGTGGTGGGTCTGTCTCTCTCCACTCGTGGAGACCGACGCGTCTTGTTCTGCAATGAAGAGCTGCTCGGGTGACCCCGCTCCTGCCTGGGGTGGCTCCGTTGTCTTGGCCTTGCTGGTGATTTTTCCAAGAAAGGAGCCAGAGGACCAGGATAACAGTCCGGACTTGACACTCTGGTGTGTCTGGTCACTTTGGCCACGAGCACACCAAGAACCGAGGGCAGACTCCCACCCTGACACCTCTGGTGCCGAACCCAGGGTTCTGACAGCACCAAAGACCTCGGGGAAACCTTCCATTTTTACTCTTAGGTTCAACAAGGAATGGACAGCTGTGTAGCAATGGGACTGGACAAAAGTCTATGACTGAGAGACCGAGGGGGACCCAGTAACGCCTGTCTGTCAGAGTCTTCTTCGTCTCTGTGCAGCACCCTCCAACCCAGCCCTGTGGGGGCAGGACCCTCTGCAGTGAGGGGCTGCAAGGGAGAAAGTGACCTTTCTGGGCAGTAACGGTTGCCTTGGGAGTGAGTTCTAGTGCTGGAGTTGCTCGCCAGAGTCGAGGAGCTCTACTTTCTATGACCCACTGTTGGGAAGAGGAATTCTGGTCTCTATGACTCACTCGGGGAGAAAGAAAACAGGGAAGCAGGAGGTCAGAGAGGCCTTGCCTCCGAGGCCCTCCCGTCTTTCAGTCGAAGGCACTCAGTGTGCCAAAGCACCACACTTTGGAGTCTCGTGTCTGAGTCCCAGCAGTATAATATTCGGGTTCTGGCCAGGCATGGTGGTTCACGCCTGTGATTCCAACACTTTAGGGGGGCGAGGCAGGAGGATTGTTTGAGGCCAGGAATTTGAGACTGGCCAGGGCAACAGAGCCAGACCCCATCTCTACAGAAACACAAAGAAATCAGGCAGGGTGGTGTGTCTGTAGTCTCATGTACTTAGGAGGCTGAGGTGGGAGGGTGGCCTGAGCCCAGGAGTTTGAGGTTATAGTGAGCTATTATGGCACCATTGCACTCCAACCTGGGTGACGTAGCAAAACCCTGTCTCTTAAAAAAAAATAGTTTTAGGCCAGGCGCGGTGGCTCACGCCTGTAATCCTAGCACTCTGGGAGGCTGAGGCGGGTAGATCATTTGAGCTTAGGAGTTTGAGACCCCGTCTCTACTAAAAATAGAAACAAATTAATTGGATAGCTAAAATATATATATAAAAATAAGCCAGGCATGGTGGCGCATGCCTGTAGTCCCAGCTACTCGGGAGGCTGAGGCAGGAGGATCGCTTGAGCCCAGGAGTTTGAGGGTTGCCTGTGGCTAGGCTGACGCCGGACTCACTCTACCTGGGCAACAAGTGAGACTCTGTCTCAAAAAAAAAAAAAAAAAACTAAATTCTGTAGAGCAGTTTTTCTGGAGAAAAATTAACTGCAAATCTGGATTCAAAATTTTTAAAGATTCATTCTGGACTCCAATTTTTTTTTTTTGAAGAATTTTTTTTTTTTTTTTTTTTTTTTTTTGAGACAGCGTTCACTTTGTGTCCAGGCTAGAGTGAGTGCCGTGGCGTCAGCCTAGCTCACAGAACCTCAATCCTGGCTAAGCGATCCTCCTGCCTCGCCTCCGATAGCTGGGATACAGGCATGCGCCCCAATGGCCCGGCTATTTTTTTTTATATATATATCAGTTGGCCAATTAATTTCTTTCTATTTATAGTAGAGACGGGTCTCGCTCTTGCTCAGGCTGGTTTTGAATCCTGACCTTGAGCAATCGCCCGCCTCGGCCTCCCAAGAGCTAGGATTACAGGCGTGAGCCACAGCGCCCGGCCTGGACTCAAATTTTTAAAAGTAGAATCTTTGACACTAAATTATTTATAACTTAGTGCCAACTTTACCTAAAGAATTTCAGGCTGGGTGCAGTGCCTCATGCCTGTAATCCTAGCACTCTGGGAGGCCCAGGCGGGAGGACTGCTAGAGGTCAGGAGTTCAAAACCAGCCTGAGCAAATGAGACCCATCTCTATAAAAATAGAGAAATTAATTGACCATATAAAAATATATATACAAATATATATCAGTATTCAATTTTATTTTTTTTTTTTTGTATAGTAGATATTATATTATATATATTAGCATGGCATGGTGGCCTTATGCTCTAGTCTCGCTAATTGGGAGGCTGAGGCAGCCTACTTGGGAGGCTGAGGCAGTAGCCCGGGAGACTGAGGTTGCTGTGAGCTAGGCTGACGCCACAGCACTCACTCTAGCCTGGGCAACAAAGTGAGATTCTGACTCAAAAAAAAAAAAGAATTTCAATTTAATTCTGTAAAGCTTTTAAAATATCTGCAACAAAAAAGAAAAGTAGGCACTCATTTATGCATTCCTGAACTCCTGGCCTCAGGCGATCCTCCTGCTTGGCTTCCCCAAGTACTAGGATTACAGGCAGGAATCACCACACCCATTCATGCATTCTATGTCCTCAATGGGTCTTCTGAGATCTTGCCTTCATATATCGGGACCTGTGTTTTTTCCAAATTTTCTGTTTTGGATAATGAGTCTCATTATACAACAGTCCCTCTTCCTTAGGAATTTACTTACTGTCGCTATCTCCTACTGCAAGAAAAGCACTGAGCTTTTTGGGAAAAAAAAAATTCCTGGGCTGGGCGAGGTGGCTCACGCCTGTAATCCTAGCACTCTGGGAGGCCCAGGTGGGCGGATTGCTTGAGGTCGAAACCAGCCTGAGCAAGAGTGAGACCCCATCTCTACTATAAATAGAAAGAAATTAATTAGCCAACTAGTATATATAGAAAAAATTAGCCGGGCATGGTGGTGCATGCCTGTAGTCCCAGCTACTAGGGAGGCTGAGGCAGGAAGATTGCTTGAGCCCAGGAGTTGGAGGTTGCTGTGAGCTAGGCTGACGCCAGGGCACTCACTCTAGCCTGGGCAACAAAGGGAGACTCTGTCTCAAAAAAAAATAATAATAATAATAATAAAAAAATTCCCTTCCTATCCTCAGAAATATCAAATGGCAACAGTATTTCTATCTCCTTGCCATGAATAAACCAGCTGATACCAACAGAGGAGAAAAACACAGGCATACAAGCACACCATGCTCATGAGACAGATTCAAATGAAAATTAAGGCTGTACCTTTTATTAAAAAAAAGCTTCAAGACATTAAGGTGATACACGATACACATCGCTTACAAAAATGAGAACACGTGTGACCATAAAATCTAAGTTCACGCACGCTCTCTCCCACCGTCTCTGCTATTCCAGCACGCCACCCGGACACCGAGCGCAGAGACTCACCGGCGGAGTGCGCCGTCAGCGCCAGGCTCTTCAGGTGCCGCGTGGACCGGTAGATCCAGCCATAGCCGTGGCGTCTGGCTTTGCTGTGGTGGTGCTGGATGTAGCGCTCGAGGAGCAGATGGAGGACCCACAGAATCACCTTTCCGAGGATGATGACCGTCTGAGCTTTCAGTGGGTTGGTGTAGTTACCCGGGCATTTGTCCTCATTCGGATCAGGGTACGAGCAAAGCACACCAGTTAAAAACGCTAAAATCACAAACACAACCTGGCGAAAAGAAAGCAGCAGGATTAATACTCAGTATTTGGAATCAGGAAACGATAATCACCATCTCAAGACACTCTCTTACACCCATGACTTTCACTATTCTATTTTTACAAATGACTTTTTAATCATTTTTACAAACTTTTGTAAAGAAACTGCTGGGGGAATCTGATGCATGCTGAAGTTTGAGAAACACTGCTGCAAAGTAATATATACAGGGTTTTTTACAGAAATGGGGAAAATCCTTTTACATGTGTGCTAATCTCTTTGTATATATTGTATGAGCTTAGCAAAAGGCACTGAAGGAGAGAGAAGAAACTGACCCATTTATTAACTCAGGGAGAAGGGCTGAACTAGAGAAAAGGAAGATTATGATTTGATCTTTGTCTACATTCATAATGTTTTACTTGTTACGATAAGGAAGTAGGATTCTATAATTCAAAAATCAAGCCAGTGTGGTGGCTCATGCCTGGAATCCCAGTGACTTGGGAGGATAAGGGTGGATTGCTTGGGCCCAGGAGTTTTGAGGCTATGTGAGCTATGATCGTGCCCCCGCACTCCAGCCTGGGCCATAGTGTGAGACCCGATCTCTAAAAAATAAAATGAAGAAAAACAACTTAAAAAGCTATCTTTAGCTGGGCGCGGTGGCTCACGCCTGTAATCCTAGCACTCTGGGAGGCTGAGGCGGGCGGATTGCTCGAGGTCAGGAGTTCGAAACCAGCCTGAGCAAGAGCAAGACCCCGTCTCTACTATAAATAGAAAGAAATTAATTGGCCAACTAAAATATATATAATTAGCTGGGGATGGTGGTGCATGCCTGTAGTCCCAGCTACTCGGGAGGCTGAGGCAGAAGGATTGCTTGAGCCCAGGAGTTTGAGGTTGCTGTGAGCTAGGCTGAGGCCACAGCACTCTAGCCCAGGCAACAGAGTGAGACTCTGTCCTAAAAAAAAAAAAAAAAAAAGAAATTTTAGTACCTCAGCCAGGTATGGTGGCTCACACTTATAATCCTAGCACTTTGGGAGGCTGAGGTGGGAGGATTGCTTGAGGTCAGGAGTTGGAGACCAGGCTGAGCAAGACTCTGGTCCCCACTAAAAATAGAAAAATTAGCTGATTGTGGTGTTGTACGCGTATAGTCAAAGCTACTTGGGAGGCTAAGGCAGGAGGATTAATTGAGGCCAGGAGTTTGAGGTGGTTGTGAACCAGGGTGATGCCATGGCACCCTAGCCTGGGCAACAGAGCAAGACTCTATCTCAAAAAAGAAAAAGAAGAAAAAAATTTAGTGCCTTTACGTTTTTTTTAATGACTAAAATAATTGTAAAATTTGACTAGGCCCTTACTTGCACATGTTAACCACTTACGTCCTGCCCAACAACTCTTGTTCTCATAATAATTATTAACTACTAATATATTACTTGTCAAACACCAAAAAATTACTCTAAAGTAACAAAAAAAATCTGTTTATTTTACAAAAAAACCCTTAAAAATTAACACTGATTTCTGACACCCAAAAGTCTAATTACTCCCGAAATAATTTTTTCTAGAGTGCTGTGGCATCAGCGTAGCTCACAGCAACCTCAAACTCCTGGGCTCAAGCAATCCTTCTGCCTCAGCCTCCCAAGTAGCTGGGACTATAGGCATGCGCCACCTAGTTTTTTCTATTTTTGGTAGAGACGGGGTCTCGCTCTTGCTCAGGCTGGTCTGGAACTCCTGAGCTCAAAAGATCCACCAGCCTCGGCCTCTCAAGAGTGCTAGGATTACAGGCATAAGTCACTGCCTGGCCGAAAAATAATTTAAAGCTAAAAAACAACACAGATTTCTCTATTCAATTCCCTAAAATTCTGCACCCTTATTCCGTAACCAAACAAATACTTCCTATTATTTTTTTTAAAAATCTAAAAAATTTCAGTTTTACTTTCTTACTTCAACCAAATCAAATAAACCATTCCCTGTCTCCAAACACCAATATCAAAATATTTAACTTTGACAGGGCGCAGTGGCTCATCCCTGTAATCCTAGCACTCTGGGAGACTGAGGCGGGAGGATCGCTTGAGGTCAGAAGTTCCAAACCAGCCTGAGCAAGAGCGAGACCCCGTCTCTACTATGAATAGAAAGAAATTAATTGACCGACTAATATATATAGAAAAAATTAGCAAGGCATGGTGGCGCATGCCTGTAGTCCCAGCTACTTGGGAGGCTGAGGCAGGAGGATTGCTTGAGCCCAGGAGTTTGAGGTTGCTGTGAGCCAGGCTGACGCCATGGCACTCTAGCCCAGGCAACAGAGTGAGACTGTGTCTCAAAAAAAAAAAAAAAAATTTAACTTTAACTACATAACAAATACACAAACCTAAACTTAAAATTCCACAACACTATGGCAACTCAAGATTCTTATCCCTATAAAGCAAAAAGTTGAAAAGTCAACATATTCTCTATGCTGTAATACAGTGTACAGTGAACTCAACGGATCCATTTTACATAACGTAGCATGCATCAGATTTTCTTGTTCTTTAATACTTATGGTTTTCTTAGACTTAAAATGAGGGCAATCAATCCCACAGTATCAAAAGCATGCAATTTAATACAGTATTTTTTTTTTTGAGACAAAGTCTCCCTTTGTTGCCCAGGCTAGAGTGAGTGCTGTGGCGTCTGCCTAGCTCACAGCAACCTCAAACTCCTGGGCGCAAGCAATCCTCCTGCCTCGGCCTCCCAAGTAGCTGTTATTACAGGCATGAGCCACCATGCCCAGCTAATTTTTTCTATGTATTTTTAGTTGACCAATTAATTTTTTTCTATTTTCAGTAGAGATGGGGTCTCACTCTTGCTCAGGCTGGTTTCGAACTCCTAACCTCAAGCAATCTGCCCGCTTGGGCCTCCCAGAGTGCTAGGATTATAAGCATGAGTCACCGCGCCCGGCCAATACAGTATTTTTTGATTTAGATACAGGGTATTGCTACGTTGCCCAGGCTGGACTCAAACTCCTGGCCTCAAGTGGTCCTCCTGCCTCAGCCCCCTGGCTCAACCTCCCAAGTAGCTGGGACTACAGGCAGATACTACTATGCCCAACTTGCAGTTTAATATAAAAAGGTTTTTAAAAAGTGATACATGGCCAGGTGTGGTGGCTCATACCTATAATTCTAGCACTCTGGGAGGCTGAGGCGGGAGAATCACTCAAGGTCAGGAGTTCCAGAGTAGCCTGAGCAAGAGAGAGACCCTGTCTCTACTAAAACATGGAAAGAAATTATCTGGACAACTAAAAATATACAGAAAAAATTAGCCGGGCTTGGGGGCGCATGCTTGTAGTCCCAGCTACTTGGGAGGCTGAGGCACAGGAGGATTGCTTGAGACCAGGAGTTTGAGGTTGCTATGAGCTAGGCTGATGCCATGGCACTCTAGCCTGGGCAACAGAATGAGACTGTCTCAAAAAATAAATAAAAATAAAATAAAAAATGATATATGTCTACAAGTACGTGTGTTTTGTATATATAGACTATGTTACAAAAAAAGTAAAAGGGGGCCAGGCACAGTGGCTCACGCCTATAATCCTAGCACTCTGGGAGGCCGAGGCAGGCGGATTGCTTGAGGTCAGGAGTTTGAAACCAGCCTGAGCAAGAGCGAGACCCTGTCTCTACTATAAAATAGAAAGAAATTAATTGGCCAACTAAAAATATATAGAAAAAAAATTAGCCGGGCATGGTGGTGCATGCCTGTAGTCCCAGCTACTCGGGAGGCTGAGGCAGCAGGATTGCTCGAGCCCAGGAGTTTGAGGTTGCTGTGAGCTAGGCTGACGCCATGGCACTCACTGTGGCCTGGGCGACAAAGCAAGACTCTGTCTCAAAAAAAAAAAAAAAAAAAAAGTAAAAGGAAAGAAAAACAGGCCACCACCTGGAACCATGAGGCTACCCGGGTGGGCCAGGAAGGAAGCACTTTGGCTGGGGCCTGGGGGTCAGGAAGCCTGCAGTGACCCAGCTCTGAAGGCGAGCCTCCCGCAGGGCACCTTGCTGCAGGGGAAGCGGAGGCAGAGGGCTGTGCAGCCTCTGGTGTGGGCAGACCTTGGGAGGAGAGAGGGGTGGCTGAGCAAGGCCAACAACCCACCCACCGTCCTCACACACACCCAGGGAGTGGCGAAACCAGCTGCCTTCTGATTTCTCACATTGCAGCAAACAACAGCTATCACCCCGCACTTCCAATTGCAAAGATCAAAATGTAGATGACTTAACAGACTTGGGGCAGAGCCACCACCACCAGGGCCTACAAGGAGACCTTTCCCACAAGTGCTTTCACAAACCCCAGACATCTGCAATTCTATCACTATGCGAACACGGGGTGACACTGTACACATTGTTCTGATGCAGCTGGAATTCTCTGCTTAACATTGTTTCCTAGGTGTAGATAAATGGATAAATTCCTATGTCAGCATGTGTAGACTCACCTGCATTTTTTGTGTTTTTTTGTAACTGAAAAAGTAATACATGCATTTGGTTAAAAAAATCAAATGGTACAAAAAGTAAACAGTAAAATATATTACTGTCACTGCTACCAGGGCCCTCAGTCCCCACCTCAGAGGAAACTAGTGTAACAGGGTCTGTGAATGCTTCCGGAAACTCTGTTACACACAGAAATACACGTACACACACCAGCCCTCTCCACTCGGTTTTTAAAAGTGCAAACAGGAACATTCTGTACACAACGCTGTGAACCTGATTTTCCCACTCCACAGTGTAATGCTGAAGGCCATGCCATGCACTGTAGACACACCCACCCTCTTTCACTTCTAACAGCTCTCTACACAGGACGAGCAGAGTAGCCTCCTGATGGCAGGCCTGGCAGTATCTTGACGACAGGCAACACTGCCACTGTCAACGATAGCCCTGCACGTGTTCAAATGCATGAGAGTAAAACAGTGTCCACACTTTAAATGTTCACAGTTGGCACCCAACTGCCCTATGAAGAGCTTATACACTTCACAGGCGTCACCTCTGGATGGATCCGTCTCCGCCAGACACTCACATGTATGACCTGGAGCAGGTTTGCGATGACGACGGTGGGAAGGGGGTGGAACCTTGGTCGGAAGTGGGCCTGCAGCGAGTGATTCGGGAGAAGCTGGGCTTCCAGAAGTGGGTCATCGTCAACGCTCTGCGTGATATCCAGAGAGCCCTGGGGCACAGAAAACGGAAGCAAGATATAATCACCACTTTCTGGACTGTATTTCCAAGACAAATCTAAACTAGGAAGCCTTTAAAATCATTACACAAGTTAGAGGCAAGAGAATACATCTGCTACTTAAAGCCAATTTTCAAAAAGTACCCTCTATAGATAACTAGCATACAAACTTGGTGAAAGTAAGTTTTAAATTGGGTAGAGAAAATCTTAATTCAATTATTTCTACATCTCACAAAGTAATATATAATGAAATTTAAGTAAACCATTTTCTTCAAGCCCTCAAAGCTTAGATACTGATTTATTTTTTATTCTAACCCCTAGACCACCAGGTGAAATGTACTTAACATAATTATATTTGTGAAATAATTACAGTTGCAATTCCTTTTTTAAATAAAGTTTATTGTGTATAGAACATGACATTATGGAGGCACATAGTAAAAACGTTACTCTAGCAAAGCAAATTAACCTCCCATCATCTCACCCATTTTTTTTGTGTGTGGCAAGAGCAGCTAAGTCATTCAGCACAAATCCCACACGAGTGCCACTCATTACCTGCAGTCTTCCCATCACCCCTAAGATCTCCAGACTTGCTCACCCCCTTTACCTGCTACTTTGCATCCTCTGACCTGCATCTCCCCACTTTCTTCCCGCCCAAACCCTTGCTCCAGGGCCACAATTCTTTTTTTTTTTTTTTTTTTTTGAGACAGAGTCTCACTCTGTTGCCCCGGCTAAAGTGAGTGCCATGGCATCAGCCTAGCTCACAGCAACCTCAAACTCCTGGCTCAAGCGATCCTCCTGCCTCAGCCTCCAGAGTAGCTGGGACTACAGGCATGTGCTACCATGCCCAGCTAATTTTTTCTATATATATTAGTTGGACAATTAATTTCTTTCTATTTATAGTAGAGACGGGGTCTCGCTCTTGCTCAGGCTATTTTCAAACTCCTGACCTTGAGCAATCCGCCCGCCGTGGCCTCCCAGAGTGCTAGGATTACAGGCGTCAGCCACCGTGCCCAGCCCAGGGCCACAATTCTTAACCTGGCTCTGGTGTTCCACAAAATTTTGGAAAATTGAGGGGGGTGCTTAAGAGTGCTTAAAACAAACTTTCAGTTATGACAGAAATATTTTAGTGGACTAATGGAAACATCCCCATGATGGGCTCTTGGGGCCACCTCGGTGTGCAGATACCAGATTCTCAAGGAAAACAACTACGGAGTTGTAATGTCGCTGATGCAGCCAACAAGGGTTAAGTGTGAGAACTGCAACCTAAATATTCCAGTTAGTGTCGTTTAAAGGCACCCTCTGGACAGGAGCAGCTCTTCCCGGCCCCCGCTGCACACAAGCAAGCCCCCAGTCTCACTCTCAGACACTTACTGACGGTTACTACGCGTGAGGCACTGTGCCCCAGGTAAAAGAACACGAGGAGATCACATTTCCGGGGGCAGCTTGCGGATAAAGGCGTGCAGGACTAAACAACAAAGCAAGAACTCCCAACATAGTGCACGGAACACTACGGGAAGCACATAACAGATCACCAAATGAAAAGCACAAAGGACACAGCAAACTTAGGTTGGCCAACACACTGGGATGAGATGGAAATTAAACTTTCATGGGTGAAAGGGAAGTCTGAGAACAGGGTTTGGATACAGAGAATAAGGGCCCCCTTTTTTAAAATTTCTAAACTTTGTTTTCTTCTGTTGAAATGACCAGGAAAACAAACTTGGGCCCAGCAGTGAGAACAACAAGTCCTAACCACTGGACGACCAGGCACAGGGCTCTTTATTTTGGAGGCAGCGAGTGGGACAAACGGTGGACGTTGTAGGGTGATGGGGTTACAAAGATGAAGGGGTCCTCGGTTTCCAGTCCCAGGCGTCAGTGCTGCTCTGCACTCTCACTCAAAGCCCAGCCGGCGTCCTGTTGAGTTTGCAGGCTTGATTCCGAACGTTCCGGTTCTCCAGACCCCTCTGCCTCTAGCGCTTCTCAATCGGCAGACACCCAGCCTCCACCTCCGCTCCTCCCCAGCTGCCGCTCCTCCCCAGCTGCCGGCTGTGCCTCTACTGTGCCTGGAGGGGCTTCCAACCAGGCAGCCCTCCTGCACCGAGAGCTGGACCGTGCGGCCCCCACACCTCCCACGGCGTCCTGTGCTCGCCTCTCCTATCACACCGTCCCACGGCTGTCTTTTGTGTCTCCTCCCCACTAGACTCAGTGGACAACAACCCCCCATCTGTCTCTAATCCCAGAGCCCCACCTGCCCCATGGCTGTCGCCTGGCGAACACTGACGGATGAGTGAGTGAAAAGTCCCAAACCCAGCGTCCTCTAACTCAGTCACGGGCACCGTCAAAGACTGGGCTAACCACGAAGGACCCTCGGGACACACAGGGGAGCCTGCTCTGGCCAGAGGCGGCAGGAGCTGTGGTCAAGGGCACACTAAGGCAAACTGCCTGCGTCCAAACACAGGACCTACTGCCTACCAGTCCAGGGAAGTTACTTCACCTCCCTGTGCCTCAGTTTCCTCACCTAAAAAGGAGACTAGTAACAGCACCTGCTTCACAGCTTTTGTCAGGAACATTAAACGAGTTACTGCAACATGAAAGTGTTCAAAGCACTGCCTGACAGAGTGATCAGTGAGTACTGGCCACAATTATGTTTATTAACTCTTGCTTTTCACTTGCTCCCTGCTGTGGTCTGAATGTTAGTGCTACCCCAAAGCCCTCCCACTTTCCTCTGGAAGGTAGGTGAGCCATGAAGGCTTCACCCTCACAAAGGGGGGTGCCCATCAGGAGGTTCCCTTCCGCCCTCTGCCAGGCGAGGACAGGGGAGAAGGTGCCTGCAGAGCCTCACCTGGGCGCTGGTGCCTGCATCGTGGGCTGCCTGAGTCTGCTGCTGCCCCGACCTCAGACTGCCCAGCCTCCAAGACTGTGAGCAATAAATTTCCATTTATAAATGGCCCCGTCTACATGCTTTGTCACCACAGCCTGAATGAAGGCAGGCCCTGCCCACACAACACTGCCATTCTAGCCCAAACCTGTTCTGTCCTTCCACTCTCACTGAGGACAGACACCCAGCACTTCTCACGGCCTGTTACTAGAACCTTCCAGTCTCCTGGCCTTGGCAACCACTCTCACTGCTGTCAGAGTTCTTCTAAGACAAACATTAGTATTTCTTTTCTCAAGGACATTGGGTACTCCTCATTTTCCTCGGGACAAAGGCCGAATGCTTATCCTGGCCACCTGCTTTACAATATATTCCCCAAGCCACTTTAGGACTCGCCTCTCACCACGCCCCCTCCTGGTGCTGACCGCTCAGTGCACCCGTCTCTTACGAACACAAAACCCTTTCCGTGTCAATGCTGGCCCTTATTCTCTGCCACCTGTCCAACGCCTGTCTCAGCAAAGCCACGCTCTGACACCCTCCCCAGAGGCAGCACCGTGGCTGCTGCACGTCCACCTGCCCTCACAGGCTTCGCCTCTGCAAGTCCCAGCTGGTCTGCTTCACACCCTCCAGTCTGCACCCACGGAACAGTCGTGACGACTTAACGTCCTTGCTTGCAGTTTCCAGCATACGTCATTTCTAAGTCAGTTTCAATGGGCTCATTATAGGTCATGTTTCCTGCCTCTTTGCATGCCTGCTAATTTTTGTTTTACTTTTTTTCCGTCTTTTGTTTCTTTTTTTTTTTTTTTCTTTTTACATTCCCCCCCCCCCTTTTTTTTAATCTGCATGCCTGGTAATTTTTGATTGGATGACAGACATTGCAAATTGTCTCTTTTGGTGCTGGACATTATTGTATTCCTATATTCTTGGGCTTTGTTGTGGAATGCAATCAAGGTATTTGGAAATAGTCTGATCTTTTTGGCCTTAGCTTTCGGACATTAGGTGGGACCACCACTGTGCTTAGTCTAGAGCTAGTTTTCCCCCACTACTGAGGCAGCACCTTTCTGAGTACTCTACCTACATACCCCATGAATGACGAGGTTTCCAGACTGGAACAGGGACTAACCTGGCCCTGCACGGATGGACTGTTCCTTCTAATCCTTTTGGGTGGTTCTTTTCGAGGCCTCCAGAGTTTCCTCCTTCGCTGATCAGGACTCTTCTGAACACCTAGGGCGGCTCTCTGCAGAGTTCTCCCTCCTCCCTGGGCACTCTGTCCCGTGAACTCTGCTTGCTTCGGTCTCCCAGACCCTCAGCTCCATCTCAACTCAGAGCCTACTGGACCCCGCCTGGGTTCCCCTGTCCACATCAAAACCTGCAGTCTCGCTCAAGGCAGTCAGCTGGGGTGAGGAAAGGGCTCACAACATTTGTTTCCCATCTCTGAGACCACTGACCTTCACGGCCTGATGTCCAGTATCGTAAAAAGTGTTGTGTCATATGTTGTATCTAGGTTTTTTGGTTGTTTCAGGCAGAATGGTATGTCTAGTCCTGGTTATTTCACCTTGGCTGGGAACAGAAGTCCCTACTGAAATTTCACACATCTCTATAACTTATAATGCTAAACACACAGTATTGAAATTGTCAGAATAAAGTGTGCTTCACAAGGGCAGGGACTCCATTATTTTCTTTGTACTTTTAACACCTGATACATAGAAGGTGCTTGGTATGTGTGTTGAATGAATGAAAGACTGCCCAACTACTCCAACACTTGACCCCTGGAAAATTTAAACCAAGTTAGCATTGAAATCTTGCCTATAAGACAATAATCTGCTTCTTTTTTATCTCCCACTACATCACTTTCATGAACCTTCTTTTCTAGCCTAAATGTGCTTTCTTTTTAGTTGAGACAGAGTCTCACTCTGTTGTACGGGCTAGAGTGCCATGGCGTCAGCTTAGCTCACAGCAACTTCAAACTCCTGGGCTCAAGCGATCCTCCTGCCTCAGCCTCCCGAATAGCTGGGACTATAGGCATGCACCACCACACCCAGCTAATTTTTTCTATATATTTTTAGTTGGCCAATTAATTTCTTTCTATTTTTAGTAGAGATGGGGTCTCGCTCTTGCACAGGCTGGTTTCAGACTCCTGACCTTGAGCGATCCTCCCGCCTCAGCCTCCCAGAGTGCTAGGATTACAGGCGTGAGCCACCATGCCCAGCCTAAATGAGTTTTCTATAGTGCTCCACAAATACCCTCTCTTACCTTTCTCAGAATTATACTTATCTTTCAAAGTCTCAACCAAGACTTACGTTCTCCATAAACCTTGTCCTGCTAAGTGTTTTCCTCCCACTTTAAACTCCTATAAAACACACTGCCCACAATATTCATTTGGAATATTTCTTTTTTGTTGTTTTTCTTGTATTTTAAGTTTTCTGGGGGGAACCTCATCTGTCTGAATTTGGAATATTTCTTATGCTGTCTTTTGTTTTTTTCCTTTTTATGTGTATCTTTTGTTTTCCCTGACTACACTGATCATATTATGGTTGGGAACCATAATGATTCTTCTCTATGGCACTTACTAGTATTTGGTGGCTACATCAAACACACTGTTCAATGAATTCTACAGGAAATATGTGGCATAACCATGCAAGCCGCACCCGTCATTCTGTGAGCTCACCATCTGCAAGGCAAGAGTGAGGGGAAGAGGATTCCTGAATACACATTCTTTCTTCACTTCCCCTATTAATAACTACATTACCATCTGTGGAAGATATCTGTTGCTTCTGCCCACATGGTATCTCTTTCCTTTTCTTTTGTAACGATACCTTTATTTCCTTTGGGGACTCACTATCTATCTCTACTTAAGTCTCAGTAAAAACATCCTTTAAAACTCTTCCCTCTCCTCTGGCCTAGGGGTGGTTATGGAACAAAAGGCAGTCAAGCCAACCCACCCTCCCTGTGGGCAGGGCAGGAAGAAAGACAGTGGTTTGGGCACACTGATTCCAGGGCAGTCCCTCCTATCCCGTAGGTCCTTTGAGCTGCCCCTGTTTGATTCTTTTCAAATGTTCTGGTGTTTATTCACCAGATAAACTGGTGTTTATTTATCCTTTCAAATAAATCCACTTCATCTTAAATTAGCCAGTGTTGGTTTCACTGCTGCAAAAAAAATGAACCCTAGCTATTAATAGTCTTTGACTTTTAACTCACTGAAGTGTCTGGGCCCATGACATGGTCCATGATTTTTAGCTTTTTACTGAATGCTAGAAATCATATCTACAAAATACCAAACGCAGGCAACTTACTCAGATCTAAAGTGATTTAGGGTTTGATGAAACAGATTTCTAAAATTGTACTCATCCTAAAGCTAAAAGTTACAGATCCAAGAACTTCAGGGCAGCTTAACACCAATCAAGAAGCAGTTACTACATGTTTTTCTCTTTTTTTTTTTTTTGAGACGGAGTCTTGCTTTGTTGCCCAGGCTAGAGTGAGTGCCGTGGCATCAGCCTAGCTCACAGCAACCTCAAACTCCTGGGCTCAAGCAATCCTCCTGCCTCAGCCTCCCAAGTAGAGGGGACTACAGGCATGCGCCACCATGCCAGCCTAATATTTTCTTTATATATTAGCTTCCCAATTAATTTATTTCTATTTATAGTAGAGACAGGGTCTCCCTCTTGCTCAGGCTGTTTTCAAACTCCTGACCTGGAGGGATCCTCCTGCCTTGGCCTCCCAGAGTGCTAGGATTACAGGTGTGAGCCACCGTGCCCGGCTACACATGTTTTTCTAAATCTCTCATTTTCCTCTTACCTATTCATGTATTTCCACAAATTGTCAGCTCATGAAGCGCACTCTTAATAAATCAGAAACAATGGATTTTACTTTAAACATATATGAGTCTTAATTCTACTTCCAGGTCTTACAGTTAGTTTTTCATTTTCTCAACTGAAAAAAAAAAAAAGAAAATTTAAGTCTTCTTCAAAATTGTTTGGTCTTTATTTCATGAAGATTATTTAAACTATGGTCACTATTTGCACAAGAATCTAAGCTCTTCAGTGCTGGAACCGTATTTCATGTGTCTTTTGCTTTTCCTGATTCACTTCATTCAGTAATAGGATCATAGCAACATTTCTATTAATTTATTAACCCAAATTAGTGCTTTAATGTAACTGTAAACTTTGCATTTCTCAAGGGCAAGAATTTTATTATGTGCCAATGGAAAACCCAGTTCATTCTGGGCACAAATACATGTCTCTCCTAAAAAATGTCTTAATATACTTAAGCGAAGAAATAAGATTTTTGCAATTGCGCTACAGCTCTGAAGCACACACACTGCGAACGAGGCCACTGGTCAGCAGTCCGATGCGGACCCACCTCAGCTTAAAGCTCTTTCCGTTCCGGCCACGCCTGGGTCACAGCGGCACGTGACCTGCTTCTCTAACCTGGGTTTCCGGCGCGGCAGCGACAGGTCCGCCCCGACGCCGTCACGGGACGCTCCGGGCTCCGGGGCCGCACGCGCGGGCGCCGGCCTGGACCCGGAGCCGCCGCGCCCCCGCACGGGAGGAAGGGTTCCGGGCAGCGCCCGCCACGGCAGTGCACTCACCTCCTCGGTCCTGGCCCCTGCTGCCATTTCCTGACGCCGAGGCCGAGGCCGGGCCGCCCCAGCCCTGCACCTGCGCCCGGGCGCCGCGGGCCGAGAAGTCGCCTCCTCCTGGTCCCCGCCGGCCCCGCCCCGGACACGCCCCTTCCGCGCTCGCCCCACCTTCGCCTGGGCCCCACCGCCCCGGCCCTGGCCCCGCCCACCTCCGCGCCCGCCCCGCTTCCTCCTGTGCCCTGCCGGCCCCGCCCCACACACGGCCCCTACGGTGACTGCCCCGCCCCGGCCCCACCCTCTTCTGCATCCGCCCCGCCTCCTCCTGGGCTCTGCCGGCCCCGCCCCGGCCCCGCCCTCTTCCGCGTTCCGCGCCCGCCCCTCCTCCTGTGCCCTGCCGGCCCCGCCCCACGCACGGCCCCTTCCGCGCTAGCCCCGCCTCCTCCTGGGACCTGCCAGCCCGCCCCGGAGGAAGAGGGTTCGAGGCCAGCGCCCGCCACTGCCGTACATTCACCTACTGGTCCCCGCTGCCTCCGCTGCCATTTCCTGGCCCCCGCTGCCATTTCCTGACACCAAGGCCGAGGCCCGGTCCTGCCCAGCCTCTGCCAGGAAGTCACCTCCTCCTGAGCCCTGCCGGCCCCGCCCGATCACGCCCCTTCCGCTCTCGCCCCGCCTCCTCCTGGGATCTGCTGGCCCCGCCCCGGCCACGCCCCATTCCGCGCTCGCCCTACCTCTTCCTGGGGCCGGCTGGCTCCGCCCCAGCCCCGCCTCTTCCACGTCCCCCGCCTCCTCCTGGGAGCTGTTGGCCCCGTCCAAGGCACGCCCTCTTCTGCGCCCCGCCCCCTTCTGCGCCCCGCCCCTCCTCTGATCTACCGGCCCCAGCCCAGCCCAGCCCCTTTTGCACCCGCCCCTCCTCCTTGGGACCCGGCAGGCCCCCCCACGGCCCCGCCCCTTCCGCGCCCCGCCTCCTCCTCTGATCTGCCGGCCCCGCCCCAAACACGCCCTCTTCTGCGCCCGCACCGCCTCCGGCCGCCCGGCCACGCCTCCTCACTCTCGATTGGCCGAGGCGGAGGGGGCGTGCCCCGCTGCGCCTGCTCCGTCCCGGGCTGGGCTGCACCGGCCGGGCGGCTCTGACCCGGCGACCCGGGCGTTGCGGTGCGAGCCTAGCGCGAGAAGTTAACTGTTTTCTGCCGCCGCTTGCTTCTGTCTAGAACGGTAACTTCGGTGGTCCTCCGTAGCTCTCGTTCGCTGGCGTGCTTGGAACCGGCGTGAAATCCTGCACCCGGAAGCAAAACAGGGATGTCTAAGGCTTCTGTTTCTTTTTAAATAAAATAAGAGAACTTTAATGACACTCTCTGAAAATGTTAATGATTGTAAAAAGGCAAGCAAACGAGGAAAGCGAGACGTTCTGCTATTGCCAGCCCCCAGAGAACGCCTGGGGGCCTCGGGGCACACGAGTTCGTGCTCTCCCAGGTGACGTGTGCAGAGACGGCGCGGTCGCGGGTGAGGCCGGCAGGTAGAGCTGCGGCGCTCCGACGTCGGACGCGGACTCAGGCTCCAGGCCTCGAAGTCTCACAGTCCTGAAATTCTGTGGATCATTTCTCCAGGCTTTTGCGCGCATGCACTTCACCTTACCGTTTTATTTTGAGGATTTTCAAGCCTACAGAAATGTTGAAAGATGAGTACAATGAACATTCTCATGTACCCTCACGTTGATTCATCAGTTGCTAATCTTATGTAGCAGTTGCTGTGTGTGTGTGTGTGTGTGTTCACACACATTTTTTTAAATGAACCATTTGAAAGGAAGTTGCGAACAATATGAAACTTCATTCCTAGATACTTTGTTGCCTAAAATAAGGATATTTTCCCACAGAACCATAATATCATTATTGCATTACTAAATTAAGTCATTCCATATTTACCTATAGCAAAATAGTCCAAATGGTTTCCAAATGTCTTTTTTAACTGCTTTTTTTTTCACCAATGAGGATCCGATATCGAGGTTCACACATTTCACTTAGGTATTACGTCAAGGCTTGCACTTTAACAGCTGTAGTACACTGGCTAAGACCAGGGTTCTCAAATAGCCATGCAGGTTTGAATTTTACATCTTAATGTTATAGTAAAAAATGTTTTTTCTACGAATAAGTATAAGAATATTGTAAGCAATTGAAAATATTTCGGTTTCCATTTATCTGTTTCACAAACGTTTGTGTTTTTCAGACAACCATGTGCCACAAATAGAATCTAGTTGTAACTGGACTTTTCAAATTTCAGTAACAAAGGACTCTGCTAGAGGTCCTTCACAGAACCTGTGAAATTTTGGACCTGTTAGCCAGCACCTGTCCCCTCATTTTTGGTTTGTTTTCTGCTAAAGTTCTTGAGATCTCAAAATTTTAACATTTAAAAACACACTTGTTTTTGAAGGCAGAAAAAATTTTTATGGTTTCACTGACTAATTTGGGAATGGAAGAACAAATTTTCAAAATTTGTTTTCAAAAATAATTTATTTTTCGAGAGATACCAAATATGTGAAATTTCAGACCAAAAACATAATTTCGCTGAAAGTTTTAAGGAAAATACAGAAACTCAGGATGAAAATGAATTTTGTAACCTTTATGAAAATCAAGGCTATTAGTATTATAATTATAGAGCTGACCTCATCTCGGCTCAATCCTGATTCTACTGTAATGCTAGGTGCCGGGCTCTGGCATCCAGCCAGATCAGTCCGCAGCATTTTCATGGGAAGAGTTCCTTCCGGCTATCAGGAATAACCAGAAGATGGGGCTTTAAGCTTTTCATTGTGACATCTTGTTTAATTAAGTTCTAGACAGTTAAGAAGTAAAATTTTTCTTTCAATTCATAATCCTATGTGTTGAGGTCTTTAAAAATATTTGAAAGGCTGGGTGTGGTGGCTCACGCCTGTAATCCTAACACTCTGGGAGGCCGAGGCGGGAGGATTGGTCGAGGTCAGGAGTTAAAAACCAGCCTGAGCAAGAGTAAGACCCCATCTCTACTATAAATAGAAAGAAATTAATTGGCCAACTAATATATAGAGAAAAAATTAGCTGGGCATGGTGGCTCATGCTTGTAGTCCCAGCTACTCGGGAGGCTGAGGCAGCAGGATTGCTTGAGCCCAGGAGTTTGAGGTTGCTGTGAGCTAGGCTGACACCATGGTACTCACTCTAGCCTGGGCAACAAAGCGAGACTCTGTCTCAAAAAAAAAAAGAAAAATATTTGAAAGTGTCCCCCTTATAAAATAATTGTCTTGATTTTCCAATATTTATATGTGAAAAGCTTGTAACTTCAGAAACTCTAACATTGTTTGGACAAAGTACAAATAAGTTAGAACATCCACTGTTTTGCTGTTTACAACACCTTCGTTAATATAAGCTAGGATGGCTATATCCTTTAAGTGAAAATTAGGTTACATTGAGTGTTAAAAAGGAGAAAAAATGGAAGACAAAAAGAAATAATACATAAATTTGTAGATGAGTATGTCGCTACTACAAAAAATAGAAATTAGCTGGACAACATATATATATATATATATATATATATATAGTATATATATATACTTAACCGGGCATGATGGCTCATGCCTGTAGTCCCAGCTACTTGGGAGGCTGAGGCAGGAGGATCCCTTGAGCCCAGGAGTTTGAGGTTGCTGTGAGCTAGGCTGACGCCACGGCACTCTAGCCCGGGCGACAGAGTAAGACTCTGTCTCAAAAAAAAAAAAAAGTAGGCAAAGGACTTGAACAGACATTTCCCCAAGGATGATGCACTCAATACTCAATAAGTGCATAAAAATATGTTCAAACATCATTAATTATTAGGGAAAGGCAAATCCAACCACAGTGAGATACCACTTCATACCTCCTAGGGTGGCTATACTCAGAAAAACGGAAAATAAGAAGTGGTGGTGAGGGTGTGGGAAAGTGAGAACTCCCACGCATTGCTGGTGGGATTGGGAAAGGGTGCAGCCATAAACAGTCTGGGAGTTCCTCAAAAGACTAAACATAGAACTAGAAGCTGCCTTGAGAAAATGAAAGGGCCTTTGACCCAGGATGCCTCTTTTGTTTTTTTTCTTAAGGTCTACCTCTAAGACTGGAAAAAAAGTCACAGAACTTTTTCACCGGGTGGCACCACAGTCCGATGAGTCCATCCATCCACAGGCCCAGGGAGAGGGAATTTGTCTAGGGAGCAAAGGTAGGTCTCGTGGGAACATCCTCAAACTGGCGGGACCCACACTTGCCACCCTGGGCCACCATTGGGGGCTGGGCACACAAGAGTGACAGCACAGACAGGACTGTGGGTCTGGTCGCCACACGTGCCGACCCTCACAGTGTGGCGGACTGTGTGGTGGTCTGAGGGAAGGGGACAGGGACGGGGACGGCGCATTGCAGAGGGTTGGCTGCAGAGGGGAGGGGAGAGAACGTGTCCCCAGGAGACACTGCTGGCCTCGGGTGTGAATGAGGGACAGGCGGGAACTCGCAAAGGGTCACCTGGGAGCGGAGGCCGGAGAGCGGCCCAGGCTGGCAGAGGGGCGTGGAGGGCCTGAGACAACAGGCACCAGGGGACCCAGGAGGACGCGTGGCCGAGGAGGGGCCCGGGCACCGGGACCAGGCCAGGGTTTGGGCTCGAGTGGTGGGAAGCAAGGAGGAGCCGTTTGGGCCGAAGCCGGTGCCACAGCCAGTGCTGCGTTCTGGACACGCCACAGGGCTGCTGGGCCGACAGGTGGTCGTGTTCTGAGTTACACGTTGCATCAGACTTGGGGAATTGTAGCTGGAGAAATTAAAAACAAAACAGGGCCGGGCGCTGTGGCTCACGCCTGTAATCCTAGCTCTTGGGAGGCCGAGGCGGGCAGATTGCTCAAGGTCAGGAGTTCAAAACCAGCCTGAGCAAGAGTGAGACCCCGTCTCTACTATAAATAGAAAGAAATTAATTGGCCAACTGATATATATATAAAAAATTAGCCGGGCATGGTGGCGCATGCCTGTAGTCCCAGCTACTCGGGAGGCTGAGGCAGGAGGATCGCTTGAGCCCAGGAATTTGAGGTTGCTGTGAGCTAGGCTGACGCCACGGCACTCACTCTAACCTGGACAACAAAGTGAGACTCTGTCTCAAAAAAAAAAAAAAAAAAAAAAAAAAAAAAAAAACAGAGCAGGAATGTGGGGAAGAGTCCGCGGGGACTCCAGACCAAGAGGCGCTGGGGGGTGAAGGTCTCTTCAGCGCCGCACGGGCCCTGACGCAGGCAGGACGCACCTGTGCATCGAAATCGCACCTGTCCCGCACACGTGTTCGTCGCAGCACATTCACAGCCGCACACGTGCAGCCAGCCTAAATGCCAATCTGCTGGTGAGTGGATAAAGAGTGTGCACACACATGCACACGCGTGTGCACACCACGGAGTACGACTCAGCCATGAAAAGGAATGACACAGTGAGCTAGGACGCAGCAACTCGGATGGAGCCAGAGGTCGTTATCCTAAGTAGCTCAGGAACAAAAAGCGGACGCTGCGTGTCCTCACTTTTGAGTGGGAGCGACAGGCACGCGTGGTCACACAGGCACGCGTGGTCACACAGGGACGCAGCAGACACTGGGGACTTGGGGGGCAGGCGGGGGTGGGGGGGTGAAAACGCACCTATGGGGCACCGTGAGCACTGTTCAGGGGACGGCACGGAAAGCAGGCTTCTCCAGTGTGCAGTCCGTCCGTGTAACAGAACCCGCTGTGCCCCTGCACCTCTTAAGGCAAACTTCAAAGGAAGGCTGCCTGTCCTCACGCCCACGGGGCTCCCGCTCCCCCCCGCAGCCTTTCGCAGCGCTTGAAAGCAACAGCCCGAAACTGCTTTAAAGTATTTTTCCCGTGCTTTACACACTTTTAACTGACCTTTATCTTTTGATGAGTGAGAAATTAGCAAAATTTAAGGGAGAGATTCAGTTAGAAGGTCAAAAAGAAGACAAATCCTTTTTCATTCATTTAGATCTAAGTTCGCAACATTTATTATTAACTGATCCCCCGATAATAATTATTTCCTGTAACACTAGGAGTTTCATAGTTCTGCCTTATCGCCCCCAACTTCACTGTGGACTCTAAAGTGTGATCCATCACGCATGGCCCGCTCAGCGGTGAACACGGAACCAATGGTGGTTAAACTGGACTCGAAGGGAAATGAGGGGGAAGTTGGGGAAACGGATAACTCATGGAAGGTAGGAAATGGGATCGATGAGAGAAAGGATAGAAGGCGTGTGGCTCACGCCTGTAATCCTAGTGCTCTGGGAGGCCGAGGAGGGAGGATCGCTTGAAGTGAGGAGTTCCAGACCAGCCTGGGCAACATATTGAGACCCCATCTCTACAAAACATGGAAAAATTAGTGGGCGTGGTGGTGCATGCCTGTAACCCCAGCTACCCGGGAGGCTGAGGCAGGAGGATGGTTTTTGCCCAGGAGTGTGAGGTTGCTGTGAGCTCGGCTGACGCCATGGCACTCTGGCCCGGGCAACAAAGAGAGTTATGGAGGAGCAGTGGGGAGAGGCCAGAGGGCACCGATCCAGTGGGTAGTCACTCTCGGTCTTCACGAGTTCCATCGGGACGTGTCGCTGGGGTCCATGTGAGCACAAAGGCCGCAGGCACAGGACGAGTGTCGCCGGGCAGGGCAGGGCAGGGCAGGGCAGGGCAGGGCAGGCATCCCTCAAACACCAGGTGCTGACAGTGAGCGTCAGGCTGGTGCCAGGCGTGGGACAGACGGCCACGTGGCTGACGGGCAGGATGCTCCTGGTGTGTTGCCAAGCCGCCAGCAGCAGTGGGTTTCTTTGTTTTGTTTTGCTTTATGAGACAGAGTCTCACTCTGTTGCCCAGGCTAGAGTGCCGTGTCGTCAGCCTAGCTCACAGCAACCTCAAACTCCTGGGCTCAAGCGATCCTCCTGCCTCAGCCTCCCGAGTAGCTGGGACTACAGGCATGTGCCACCATGCCCGGCTAATTTTTTCTATATATATTAGTTGGCCAATTAATTTCTTTCTATTTATAGTAGATACAGGGTCTCGCTCTTGCTCAGGCTGGTTTCGAATGCCTGGCCTTAAGTGATCCTCCTGCCTCAGCCTCCCGGAGTGCCAGGATGACAGGCGTGAGCCTCCATGCCCGGCCAGCAGTGGTTTCTAGGTGAGCAGGTTTGCTGTGGCTCTTGCCACACCTGCGGCTTCACTCCTGTGGCCCCGCCCCCGTCTGGGCGGGCTCGCCACCCAGCGCCTGGGCACTGGAGCCAGCGGTGATCTCAGTCCCGTAACCAGGTGATCTCCGCCCCATAACCAGCCTGCGGGGAGACAGCTGCTCCTCAGATCACTGCTGATGGTTCCCTCAAGCCTGGGATAATAAGCAAGGTGTTTCGCCTCAAATTTTAGGGTCTGAGTGAAAAAGTCTTTTTCAGAATGTCTACGGGACATACTTCCTTTGATCCCAAATTATATGCTATGCCCATGTCTGCCTCCCAGCTCCAAATGCTGCGAGTTGCCCCGTATTGTCTTAGGGGGTGTTTTATTCTGAGCACACGTGGCCCTGTGGCCTGCCCTCCCCCAGGGCTGAGGGGGGTGGAGCAGAGAGCCTGGAGTCAGCCGACTCAGCTGGGATTCCAGCTCTGTGACTCACCCGAGTCTCACCTTCCTTACCTGTGAAATGGACAAAAACGATACTCACCTTGTGAGGCGATGGTAAAATTCCAACCCCTTACGCTCCATGTGATCGGCACATGAGGAACTCGTGAAATCTCAGCTTCCTTCCCATCCCCACTTCGCCCCTTCCCCACATCGCAAACTGCCCTGGGGGGCCAGGTGCACGCTCTGCGGGCCTCCAGCACGGCAGGTGAGTAAGCACTTGATAAATGCCTTCTGATTAAGTCCAGCAGCAGAGTAGCAGGCGAAAGTGCTTTGCTCAATCACTCTGACTGGATGTTTCTCCTTGGCGGAGTTCCAGGTGGCGTCCGCGCTAGATTCAGAGTGCTGCTCTGGCAGCCGCACAGCACGCTTCTGTCTGTCCCTCCCCAGGGTGGGCAGGCTCTCACACCTGCCCCTCCGGTTGCTCCTGTGCCTTCGGGCAGTCAGGTGTGCGGAATCCGAGGGCCTGTCCTTTGCTCGGCGGCAGTCATGGGACACAGGCGAGGCCGAGGATGGGCTGGTCCTCGAGACCAGTAAATGGTTTGATGTTCACGGCTCCCACCACCTGCAGGGCAGGAAGAGAGCAGCTGAGGCTTCTTGAGGGAACCCAGTTGTTAGCTGGGTCTTTTCATCCTTCTCCCTTCCCTGATTTCTACAAGAAACCAATTTACGCCAGGAGTGGGTGGATTCTGTAGAATTTCCTTAGAATTTGGGGAGGAGAGTGGGGCCTTCTGACCCACAGGCTCAGCCCTTTCCCTCTCCTCCACTTCTCTCTCCTTCCTCTCAAGAGCAAAGGAAATGTTCTTCCTTGCTTCATCGCCTCCATCTAGCTCTTATTTCCTGTTGCCGTAGCAGGCCCTAAAACCCTGCGCTTTCGCCCGAGCAGCTTGTGAAAACGTTTCTTCCAAACAGGCTCTGCGATCTCCCTAGGAGAAGGTGTCCCCGATTCTCTGGCAGGTCCCCGAGCCTCGCAGGCACCGGGGTGCCGTCCCCCGTTGGTGAGACGGACACAGAGGCCTCACGTGTCCTCTGGCATCAAATGGGGCAAATATTTACTGTTTCTGGCATAGCGCTCGAAGATCAACATTCATAATTCTTTTTAGCGACCTGTTTTTTATTTTTATTTATTTTTTTCAGTATATTATGGGGGTATAAATGTTAAAGTCATGTGTGTTGCCCTTGCCCCCCTCCCCCTTAGCGACATGTCTGAAGAAGCTTTTAGTGAACACTGAAGAAGTGAGCGATTGCTTGAGTAGCGCTTAGATTGCGCTAAGAGCGACACACCCAATTCCAAAGACAGAGTTTAAACAGGCAAGACTTCCTGCCATCATCATCATCACCCTGACCGGCAGCACGTATAAGGGCAGACCTTTAAGTGTGGCGTTAACCTGGACATGCGCTCTCTGTGCAGGGGGTTGGGGAATGAAGCGTGCAAACAACCAACATTCTCTGTGAGTTTGGAGGAGACGCCGTAGGTGCCTTTGTTTTGTCCTTCTCAGGAAGGGACGGAGACTGATCGCTGTTAAATGCCCACTAGACATCAGGTATCACGTTGCTGCTTCACAGTTTCATTAAACCTCATATCAGTATGAGGTGAGTGCTACTATGCTCATTTTGCAGAAAGGGAAACCAAGGCTCAGATGAACTAGATAGCTTGCCCGGAGCCACGCAATGATGCCAACGTGCAGACTCAAGTGTCTGTGAGGCCACAGGCCGTGGTTTTCACCCCACGCCACACACGGCAGTGGCAAAGGAAGGCAGGTGTTTCTGATGGAAAGAATGTTTTCTGTTTTCTGAAAATATTTTAAAATTGCAAGATTGGGAAACTTAAGGTTCCTTTGTTGTCTAGAAATTGATTTGGCACATTCACACTTTTTTTTTTTTTTTTTTTTTAGTAGAGACGGGGTCTCGCTCTTGCTCAGGCTGGTTTTGAACTCCTGACCTTGAGCAATCCGCCTGCCTCGGCCTCCCAAGAGCTAGGATTACAGGCGTGAGCCACAGCGCCCGGCCACATTCACACTTTTTTAAAAAAGATTTTCTTTAGGCTGGGCGCGGTGGCTCACGCCTGTAATCCTAGCACTCTGGGAGGCCGAGGTGGGCGGATTGCTCGAGGTCGGGAGTTCAAAACCAGCCTGAGCAAGAGCGAGACCCCGTCTCTACTAAAAATAGAAAGAAATTAATTAACCAACTAAAATATACAAAAACTCAGCCGGGCATGGTGGTGCATGCCTGTAGTCCCAGCTACTCGGGAGGCTGAGGCAGGAAGATCCCTTGAACCCAGGAGATGAGGTTGCTGTGAGCTAGGCTGATGCCACAGCACTCATTCTAGCCTGGGCAACAAAATGAGACTCTATCTAAAAAATAAATAATAAATAAATTAATTAAATAAAAATAGAAATAAATTAATTGGCCAACTAAAAATATATATAGAAAAAATTAGCCAGGCATTGTGGCACATGCTTGTAGTCCCAGCTACTCGGGAGGCTGAGGCAGGAGGATCGCTTGAGCCCAGGAGTTTGAGGATGCTGTGAGCTAGGCTGATGCCACGGCCCTCTAGCCTGGGCACAGAGTGAGGCTCTGTCTCAAAAAAAAAAGATTTTCTTTAATATTGCCTTTATAGAAATCTTAGATGATTAAGAATTTTAAACTAAATGGGAAGCAACATAAAACTATTTCCTTGCAGATTTTGAGTTTTTGTTCGTGCTTCTAATTTTTCAGCAATATTGCATTCAAATGGATCTGCAAATTTTAGGGCATTTCATTTTTTGCTCTAGGGAAAGAGGTTAAATGACCTCCACATGGTAATATATTAGCATAGTAAAGACAGAAGAATCATTCCATTTGCTTTTCTGGTTCAGGTTGTCCTCAGCCTATCAAGAGAAGGTGAAGGAAGGAATGAAAGTGGTTTCCTCAAGAGCACCCACATGAGTATTAGAATATTTCCTTCCCGTTTACAGTTTTCATGCTAAATGTGGGCACCTGACGTATATGGGGCTATCAGATGGATGCCTGCTTACAGACAACCTTAGAAGTTTTGGTGACTTTCTCAAGTACCTACTACCATTTGCTGTGGCCCGTTTGCAGGATGGGGGATGAACACAGAACACAAAGAGACAAAAAAAGACCTACACTGCAGGCCGGGCGCGGTGGCTCACGCCTGTAATCCTAGCTCTCTGGGAGGCCGAGGCGGGCGGATTGCTAGAGGTCAGGAGTTCAAAACCAGCCTGAGCAAGAGCGAGACCCCGTCTCTACTATAAATAGAAAGAAATTAATTGGCCAACTGATATATATATAAAAAATTAGCCGGGCATGGTGGCGCATGCCTGTAGTCCCAGCTACTTGGGAGGCTGAGGCAGAAGGATCGCTCGAGCCCAGGAGTCTGAGGTTGCTGTGAGCTAGGCTGACGCCACGGCACTCACTCTAGCCTGGACAACAAAGCGAGACTCTGTCTCAAAAAAAAAAAAAAAGACCTACACTGCTGGTGGGACTGCAAACTAGTTCAACCTCTGTGGAAAGCAATATGGAGATACCTTAAAGCGATACAAGTGAATCTACCATTTGATCCAGCAATCCCATTGCTGGGCATCTACCCAAATGATCCAATGACACTCTACAAAAATGACACCTGCACTCAAATGTTTATAGCAGCACAATTCATAATTGCAAGGCTGTGGAAACAGCCCAAGTGCCCATCAATCCAAGAATGGATTAATAAAATGTGGTATATGTATACCATGGAGTACTATTCAGCTCTAAGAAACAATGGTGATATAGCACATCCTGTGTTTTCCTGGATAGAGCTGGAACCCATACTACTAAGTGAAGTATCCCAAGAATGGAAAAACAAGCACCAGATATATTCTCCAGCAAACTGGTATTAACTGAGTAGCACCTAAGTGGACACATAGGTACTACAGTAATAGGGTATTGGGCAGGTGAGAGGGGGGAGGGGGGCGGGTATATACTTACATAATGAGTGAGATGTGCACCATCTGGGGGATGGTCATGATGGAGACTCAGACTTTTGGGGGGAGGGGGGGAAATGGGCATTTATTGAAACCTTAAAATCTGTACCCCCATAATATGCTGAAATAAAAAAGAAAAGAAAAAAAAAAAAAAGAGAGACACAAAAAGAAAGACACAGACCCACACAAAGATGGTTCAAGACTGCAGTGCAGAACGCACCAGTCATTTTATTGTTATACCCTAAAAAATCGGGCCCGGCGAGGTGGCTCACGCCTGTAATCCTAGCACTCTGGGAGGCCGAGGCGGGCGGATTGCTCAAGGTCAGGAGTTTGAAACTAGCCTGAGCAAGAGCGAGACCTCGTCTCTACTATAAATAAAAAAGAAATTAATTGGCCAAATAATATACATGGAAAAAATTAGCCAGGCATGGTGGCGCGTGCCTGTAGTCCCAGCTACTGGGAAGGCTGAGGCAAGAGGATTGCTTGAGCCCGGGAGTTTGAGGTTGCTGTGAGCTACACTGACGCCACGACACTCACTCTAGCCTGGGCAACAAAGTGAGACTCTGTCTCAAAAAAAAAATCAAAGTTACTTTCTTTTTTTTTTTTTAACAAATTAACTTTATTAAATTACTGCTTGGGTCCTTACATTGATTCGTTTAAAAAAATAGCAGTTTGAAATACATTATTGAAAATGAGTACACACAATAAATAGAAAATAGGGGTGCATAGTACTGGAGATACACAAACCAACTTATTTTCATCTGTTGCCTACTGGTGTAGACAAAATTTGAAATGAAATTAGCATTATTGAAAGAACAGCCAAAGTACCTGGGAGAAGGCTGCAAACTATTGGAAATCAGTAGCTTAAATCTCTGGACTACTTACCAAAAATGAAAAAAAAATAAAATTCACTGTTTATCTGGGAGCTAACCTCATGATGGCACTGAATTATCTACTCCTACAAGAACAATTTTAAAATACCTACAAGTGCCAGGGAACCTTCATTAACAGTATTTTTAAATCAAAGTTTTTACTTTAAATATATGATGATTATTCAAAATATCCTAGGCCACACGGCAGGCCCTATAACAATAAGTTACAAATAGTCTGAATTTAATAACTTAAGCGTGATATGGTTAATATAATACATGCTGTGTGAGTATCTCAACTAGCCTCTTTCAGGTGAGGTGATAATTAAAAGGTTTAAATCTACAGTTTCAATTTCTGCTCAGGGGAGTGATGTCAGTATTCTAGCAATGGTGATGACATCCCATTACTGTAATGCAGAACATGATAATGAAGATATTACTCTGAATTACACTTGATTGAAGACGTAATTCTATGTACACGTGGGTCCATGCTCTATGTGCAAATTTTCAGTGGTACAAGTTTATAATCAGAGCTGGGTTTAACAAATGCTTTTTGACTTCTGAAAAGAAATCATGAAAGCACATATTAAAAGTGAATAAACTAAAGTTACAAGTAGATGACGCCAGTTCTTTCTTGCCTTTACGTGTGATGAACTTCATGAAGCATTAACTCCCGAGGTATATTTGTTTCTGGACCATACAGCTTACCTGCTCTTCTTTCAAAGGCAGCCACCATCTGCTTTACAACTCCATCAAAAAACAATGTGGCAAGCTGAGAGTGCAGAAGTGAGAGAAATTCAAAAGAAATTGAAAAATCTAGGGTACAAGTTCTTGGGTAGCCAGGAAGACCTGGGCTAAAACACCAACTAGTCTCCAAATGGTTGAAAAGTTTCCCATCAGTACAGGATGCCTATACTAAATGTGGTTTCACCAAGGTTACTACTGATGTATATCGCTCCAACACAGGTGGAAACCCAATTTCTAATCGTGTTTTACAATATCCAGATCTCTTTGATATTATTTCTGATTTTTTGCACCAAGGAACAAAATGCTTGTACTCCTCCATTCTTGATACTACAGCATACATTTCCTGCATTGAATATCCTAAAATTCTCCTTTCTGAATATTCTTTCCTTTTGTTTATTAATGGTGCAGCGATTTTGAACAAACTTCTTGCATATATCTCCTTAGGCAAAATTGAGGTATGTATTGGAAGAGTTCTGCTCATCAGTATACCACAGGAAGCTAAATATCTGACTTTCCACGCAGGCTCCTGCGCTGGAGCTCGGGCTCTGGCTGCTGTCGCCGACTTCGGACAGAATCCTGAGGCTACCCTTCCCAGAGCCTTCTGACCAGTCCGAGCTGCCATGATCGGTCTCAGAGAAGCCGGTCGCTACCCCCGGGACCAGTTCTGCGGCGCCGCCTTCCTGAGCCAAAGTTACTTTCGTGACCACCTAGGCATTGCAGCAATGGCCATAAATTCCAGAACATGTAGCCTAAGGACACAGACTCAAGGTTTCCAGGCGGTTGCTCAAAGCATAGGTCACAGGCTGAGATAAGCAAAGGTTAAGCGAGGCAGCCACAGGGGGTACTTTCCGTCCCCAGTTCCTCCTGGCTGCCCCCCCCCCAGGCTGTGCCTGTCTTAGGTTGTTCCTCCTTGAGGAAACTTACCCGTCATTGACTATCCAGCCATCTTACAGGGCCAAGCAACAATGATAGGAACACTGTGCTTATCATGTGGCCTCCAGGCCCTTATTAATGTGGGGCTGGGCAACTCTTGCCTATGCAGAAACTCAGACCCTTTGTTATGCCTCTAAGCAGCAACTTTGTTTGTTACATGGACCTTGTTTGTTACACATTACTCTTAAACGTTCTTGGCAGGGGTAGGCTATTTCCTAAATTTAACTCTAAGCTGGATAAGTATTTTGTTAGTACCCAACACCTATTAACTAAGTAACAGTGATGAAATCAGTCAGAAGCAAAGCTGCTGGGAATATAGGTATTGCAGATATTCTCTTTTGCTTCAGCTGTTTACGAAACAACTTTTAAGATTTCCTGCCGGCCGGGCGTGGTGGCTCACGCCTGTAATCCTAGCACTTTGGGAGGCCGAGGCGGCCGGATTGCTCAAGGTCAGGAGTTCAAAACCAGCCTGAGCGAGAGAGACCTCGTCTTTACCAAAAATAGAAATAAATTAATTGACCAACTAAAAATATATATACAAAAAATTAGCCAGGCATGGTGGCGCATGCCTGTAGTCCCAGCTACTGGGGAGGCTGAGGCAGTAGGATCGCTGAGCCCTGGAGATTGAGGTTGCTGTGAGCTAGGCTGACGTCATGGCACTCACTCTAGCCAGGGCAACAAAAGTGAGACCCTGTCTCAAAAAAAAAAAAAAAAAAGATTTCCTGCCATCCGTTTCTAAAAGGAGAAGGGAAGGGAAATGATTTGCAAGTATTTGGAACCTGGTGTTTATGTTTAGATTTTGGTTTAATCTCACATTTCTGCAGCATCTTGGGTCTGGGGGAGAAGGCTTAGCTAGTCAGTGCTGTTCCAGCTCCTGGGACATTTCCTCACAGGACTAGAGGAATGAGAAGTGATGCATTTTCGTAAAACAAGTGTTACTGGGTTCCTCTTGTACATAAGGCAGCCTGCTAGACATGTTTTTGTGTATCTGTGTAGTGGTTGCTAAGGATACCATACGAAAGTACAGAGACTGGGTGGCATAAACAACAGAAATTTATCTTCCTGTGGTTTCGGAGGCTGGAGGTCTGAGATCAATGTGGTGGCAGGGTTGATATCTTCTCAGTTCTTTTCTTGGCTTCTGGATGGCATTTTCTCCTGTCTCACATGGTCTTTCTTCTGTGCATGTAAAGGTCTGTGCCCAGATGGTCTCTTTGCCAGTTGTATCGGATTAGGACCCACCTGAAAGGACTGTTTTTAACTTACTGTGTTTCCCGGAAAATAAGACCTACCTATAAAATAAGCCCTAGCAGGATTTCTAAGCATTTGCGAAATAGAAGCCCTAACCCAAAAATAAGACCTAGTGATGGGCGTGGCTGCACAGCGTGTCCACAATCCATGCATTTCGTCCCGGAGCGGGAAAGAAGACAAGCAGCCCTTCTCATCCGCCCCGTGAGAGCTCTATGGCTCGACAGGAGAGATTGGGGCCAATAGTTCTAAAGGAAATAGAGTCGCAAAAAATTCAGGATGGAATTCAGGGTTTGGAGAGTTGATGATGATGTTCCAGAAAAAGACAACTTAACTAAATTTGAATCAGTATAGATTGTTATACTTAAAAAAAAAAAATAACACATCCCCTGAAAATAAGCCCTAGGGTGTCTTCTTGAGGAAAAATAAATATAAGACCCTGTCTTGTTTTCGGGGAAACACGGTAATTGCATCTTTCAAGACCTCTTCACCAAATACATTACATTCTGAGACGCTGAGGGTTAGGACTTCAAGATGTGAATTTTGGGAGGATATTACCCAGCCCACAGGAAGAGAGTGAGCAGGAAGGATATGGCCCATATACTCACAGAACTTCCGATCCAGTGGAGGTGCAAAGTCGTAAACAAGGGAAGGTGACTCAGCGTAACAAACACATGACACGAGGAAGTGCAGAGGTGTGGAGGGAGTCTGCTGGTGGGAAGTGGAGTCTAAATTAAGGCCTGAAGTATGAGTAAGGGCTGTCCAGGAGAAGGGTAGGGATTGGTGGGGGAGGAGGTTGAGGGGAAAAAGAATGTTTTGGGCAGAGGGAACCGTCCCACAAAAGGCTCAGAACAGGGGTCCTCAAACTTTTTAAACAGGGGCCAGTTCACTGTCCCTGAGACCATTGGAGAGTGCGCACTGTGGGCCCGGGACGAGTCGGCTGCTAAGCAGGAGGGCTGGATATATACTATCTCAATATATGCAACATATACAATAACTCTGTGAAGTAGATACTATTACTATTCTTATTTCACAGATAAAAAACTGAAGCACAGAGAAGTTATATGAATGGCTCAAGGCCACACATCTAAGTCTAACTCCAGAGATAACATGTCCCACTTCCATGCCAGGTGAGTGAGGCCAGGTCAACCTGGGGAGGTGGCAGATAAAAAAGGCCTGAAGGAGGAAGGCTTGAAGGGAGGGCTGAGGAGAGGCAGGTGCCAGATCAGTGAGGGCCTTGTCACCCTAGGCAAGAGCTGGGACTTCATCCAACCGGTCCTCATGGAGGGGTTCAAAACAGGGGACTCCATTTAGTCTAGAAAGATTACTCTAACCTACTGTGATAAGGAGAGTTTGGACCTGTGTGCGTGGGGCGGTGGGGCAGGGACAGGCATGGCAGGAAATGCAACGGTGTGTTCAGGGGAAACCAGCTGGGAGACCACGGTGGCTGGCCTGCTGGCAGGAGTGCCCCGTGGGGTTGGAAAAAGGGAGGAAAAGGATCCTCAGGTATCTGATTGGGCCACCGCTGGTGTTAGTCACAAGGAAAGAGATCACAGGGGCTAGGTGCAGTGGCTCACGCCTGTAATTCCAGCACTCTGGGAGTCCCAGGCGGGAGGATTGCTCAAGGTCAGGAGTTCGAGACCAGCCTGTGCAAGAGTGAGACCCCGTCTCTACTAAAAATAGAAAGAAATTAATTGGACAACTAAAAATATATAGAAAAAATGAGCCGGGCATGGTGGCGCATGCCTGTAGTCCCAGCTACTCCAGTGGCTGAGGCAGGAGGATCGCTTGAGCCCAGGAGTTTGAGGTTGCTGTGAGCTAGACTGACACCACGGCACTCTAGCCCAGGCAAGAGAGCAAGACTTTGTTTAAAAAAAAAAAAAAAAAGAGATCACAGGAAGAGGAATGGTTTTGAGGAGGGCAACAATGACTTTGGTTTGGGACATGTGACTTGGGTTGCCTCTGAGATCAATGAGAAGACACGCCGGGCAGGTGTCAGATGGAGGCTTCTGGAGCCAGGAGTGAGAGCTGGGCTGCAGATTTGGGTACGGAGGCATCAGCATATAGATGGTGACGAAAGCCATTAGAAAGGATGGGCTGGCCGGGCGCGGTGGCTCACTCCTGTAATCCTAGCACTCTGGGAGGCCGAGGCGGGTGGATTGCTCGAGGTTGGGAGTTCGAAACCATCCTGAGCGAGACCCCGTCTCTACTAAAAATAGAAAGAAATTAATTGACCAACTAAAAATATATATACAAAAAATTAGCCGGGCATTGTGGTGCATACCTGTAGTCCCAGCTACTTGGGAGGCTGAGGCAGGAGGATCGCTTGAGCCCAGGAGTTTGAGGTTGCTGTGAGCTAGGCTGACGCCACGGCACTCACTCTAGCCAGGGCAACAAAAGTGAGACCCTGTCTCAAAAAAAAAAAAAAAAAAAAAAGAAAGGATGGGCTGACAAGACAGAATGTTTAAAGTAGAAGAAGGAAAAGGGCCCAGGATAAACCCTTAGGAATGACAACACTTCAGAAATGGACATGGGACAGGCCGGGTGCGGTGGCTTACACTTGTCATCCTAGCACTCTAGGAGGCCTAGGCGGGAGGATCATTTGAGCTCAGGAGTTTGAGGCCAGCCTGAGCAAGAGTAAGACCCCATCTAGACTAAAAAAATAGAAACAAATTAGCTGGGCAACTAAAAAATATATACATATATATAAATAAAATTAGCCAGGCATGGTGGTGCATGCCTGTAGTCCCAGCTCCTTGGGAGGCTGAAGCAGGAGGATCGCTTGAGCCCAGGAGTCTTGAGGTTGCTGTGAGCTAGGCTGACGCCACGGCACTGTAGCCCAAGCAACAGAGTGAGACTCTGTCTCACAAAAAAAAAAGAGCAGGATGCATGGTGGCGCATGCCTGTAGTCCCAGCTACCCAGGCTGAGGCAGGAGGATTGCTTGAGCCCAGGAGTTTGAGGTTGCTGTGAGCTAGACTGACACCACGGCACTCTAGCCCAGGCAAGAGAGCAAGACTCTGTTTAAAAAAAAAAAAGAGATCAGGAAGAGGAATGGTTTTGAGGAGGGCAACAATGACTTTGGTTTGGGACATGTGACTTGGGTTGCTCTGAGATCAATGAGAAGACACGCCGACGTGCAGATGGGGCTTCTGGAGCCAGGAGTGAGAGCTGGGCCGCAGATTTGGTACGGAGGCATCAGCATATAGATGGTGACGAAAGCCATTAGAAAGGATGGGCTGGCGGGCGCGGTGGCTCACTCCTGTAATCCTAGCACTCTGGGAGGCCGAGGCGGGTGGATTGCTCGAGGTTGGGAGTTCGAAACCTCCTGAGCGAGACCCCGTCTCTACTAAAAAGAAAGAATTAATTGACCAACTAAAAATATATATACAAAAATTAGCCGGCATGTGTGGTGCATACCTGTAGTCCCAGCTACTGGGCTGAGGCAGGAGGATCCTTGAGCCCAGGAGTTTGAGGTTGCTGTGAGCTAGGCTGAGCCAGGCACTCACTCTAGCCAGGGCAACAAAAGTGAGACCCTGTCTCAAAAAAAAAAAAAAAGAAAGGATGGGCTGACAAGACAGAGTGTTTAAAGTAGAAGAAGGAAAGGGCCCAGGATAAACCTTAGGAATGACAACACTTCAGAAATGGACATGGACAGCCGGGTGCGGTGGCTTACACTGTCATCCTAGCACTCTAGAGGCCTAGGCGGGAGGATCATTTGAGCTCAGGAGTTTGAGGCCAGCCTGAGCAAGAGTAAGACCCCATCTAGACTAAAAAATAGAAACAAATGCTGGCAACTAAAAAATATATCTATATATAAATAAAATTAGCCAGGCATGGGTGCATGCCTGTAGTCCAGCTCCTTGGAGGGCTGAAGCAGGAGGTCGCTTGAGCCCAGGAGTCTTGAGGTTGCTGTGAGCTAGGCTGAGCCAGGCACTGTAGCCGAAGCAACAGAGTGAGACTGCTGTCTCACAAAAAAAAAAC